ACACGACCTGGACACGGCGGAGCATACGCTCGCTGTCTGCCCCGCTTGGGAGGTGCAGCGCCGTGTCCTTGTCGCAAAAATAGGACCAGACTTGTCACTGCCTGGCGTCGTGGCGTTGATGCTTGGCGGCGACGAGTCTTTGAAGGCTATGCTCGACTTCTGCGAGTGCACCATCTCGCAGAAGGAGGCGGCGGGGTGAGTGAGGCAAAGCTCTCCTCACTACGCAGAAACCCGCCGCCGCCGAGCAGGGGGTTGGGACCGGGGTCCCGTCCGTAACCCGGCTCCCTACGAGCTTCGGGCTCCACCCGCTTTGTGCGGGGAGGAACCTAGGCGTGGGGCGGCGTGGTAGGTCGCGTTCCCCCGACCGCTCCGGGGGAAGCTGTAGCGCGGCACTATCAATCGGGCTCTTGGCCCGTCGACCGAGGGAACCGGCGGTCATGTTGCTGGCGGCCGCTGGTCCGGCGTCTGGGGGACGGCGGGATGGATGTAATGTGCTCTGCGTAAACCCTGTCCCGCCGTCTCAATAGCTCCGACTGGGTTCCGCCCAGTCCGCGATAGGGCGCCGGCTGTGAGCGGCAGGAGTTTTTAGTGAGGTTCGACTCCCACATACCGGATCCCCACCTGCCGTGCGGGTGGGGATCCGGCGATTTTGGCATATAAAAAACCTTCATAACTTTTATGGCATCAATGTTTCAAATAGAAACTTTGTTTATTTCAACCATTTGTTTTATAAAAGCCTTTTTGTTAGTATAAAAGAGTAAATAGTATATATATTTAACGTTTTATATTAAATTTATTTAATTTATTTCATTTATTAATTGTTAAAGTTAAAAAATCTACGTTTTTGGTTGAAAATCATATTCTGGACTGCTAGCCCTGGCCCTGCACGTACTTCGTTTGGTCACGTCCACTCGAAGCCAAGCTTCTGTTATTTGCTAGTATTACCACAACATTATAATCAAAGTAATAATGTTCTCGAGAAAATTAGCTTGTTCGACTGTTCGTAAACTATAGCCTTGATTATTATTTATTTTGATATACAATGTCCATAATAATTTCTATTTAAAAACCAAAACTTACAATAAAGAAATATATGAATAATCGGAGACAAATTGCAAACGAGTATCTGGGCCCAAATTAGGAATCTCTGTACTATGGGAATCAGAGACTAATATACATTTAAATGTGTGATATATACAATTCTTAGACAAAGAGGAAACTAACCTGTTATTTACACGGCTATTAGTGTGAAATAGGAATCGCACCATCACCCTCGGCCCAATAGTCAAGGGAACTAATTAGTGCGTCACCGAGTCCTGGCTTGAAGAAGCACGAAGCTGTTTTGAACTGGCAGATTTGTATCGGGCACCGGCTGCACCTTCTCGATCTATTTCCTATAGGACCTCACTATAAAATATCATCGCATCCGTCACGCGCGCCTCGTATCAATTTTATCCCTCTATTAAAAAGGTCCGCGACAGGAAGGGTTGGATTTTAATTACGATATTTTTCTATTATTTTCTCTGCTGTCTTAGTTACGGGGTAAGGGGTCGCTATGTGTAATAAATTGTGTTTTTTATGAGGTCACGGTTAACCCTCTTGATAACGTTTATCGCGCATCTGGTGAACTTTGTTGTTCGTTTCTCTGATTCAAGCTTTAATAGATTTTCTTTTCATCGTAATGATTTGAAGTTCTCTAGGAATTACTGTTACTCTCAGATCATCAATAAAAACCGGACATTGAATACAAATCCATCATTGCCTATTGATAATTCCAGTTTCAAATAATCGAAAAATGTAATCGTTAAAAATTGGAATATATCTGACAAAAACTTTGTATAGCGGAAGAAGATTGACGGATGCAATGATGCGCATTGCATCTGTCAAAGGCTACATGAGCATACATACGTCACACGAGAACATATCAAAGCGAACAACTCCGCGGTGCGTGAAACGATGAGTACCGCTTTAACATTTTCGAGCGATTGCGCGCGAGAAGCGTGAGTGCGGATAAAATTTTATTGATCACTGACATTCTACATGAACGCATTACACGCCTAGATTCAATAAAAAAGTATCATTTAAAGGGTTGATTCTACTAGTTTAATCGTTTGTGGAAATGTATGATATTCGTTGATTGAATTTTGATAATTAAACTGTTCAAATAATATTATAATTTAGATTCCCTTCTTTAACCAACTTCAAGAGAAGTTTTTAGATTCGGACTGTATGTTTATATTTTGTTGAGTGAATAAATGAAATTACATATAATTTTTTATCGTTTAATCTTTATCTTTTGTATATTCGTGTATAGTCTATGGTAGGAACATCGAATCAATAGGCACGTTTATGCAAACATTTCCCGTTGTATGTATCCGAAAGGATTGTCGGCCGGTCGATGGCTATGAATAATTATAATTCGTTAGTCCCGAGAATAGATTTGTATACTTAAGTGATTAAAGTTATTTGAATACGGATTTATATGAATAGGTGTAAGAGTGGGAGCGACATACGCAAATACAGATGTTCACACTTAGGGATCGCGCGAATGTGCAAAGGCTCAGATCGATGTAAGCCCTTTAAGCTTAAAATTTAAACTAATGGAACGGAGAAATGAACAGATTTTTTTATGATTTGGAAATTTATTCAAAACGATGTTTGATTATTATACGTAATTTTATTAAAATAATAATCTAACACATTATCTCAGAGGAGTGTCAATGTCATCAATCACGCGCCACGTGCGTCGAACATAGTTTTTTAGATAAAATGTAACTTTTATCACAAAAAAAGCGTTCGGATTTTAACAATAGCCCAGCATCGAGATAAAAATAGGTATGTAAAAGATAAATAAATATTTGAGCGAGGGCGTAGTGGAGCATGAAACTGTCTGACAAAAGCATTACCCAGGGATTAGGAGTGGCATTAACGTTATTTGATTACTTAAACATATAGATGCATACGAGAATATTAGGCGGATACTCTTTTCTTATCACATTTTACAAAAGCAAGATCCTTTTCAGTTAAGAGGATTTAAGTGTTTCGATCTTACCTAAACAAACAGTAAAAAACTTTAAGCTGCATATTTTTTTATTAAAGATTTACTATTATTCAATGAGGCTTTTTATATATTTCGTAACACAATAAGTTCTAAAGTTGTTTTGTTTATTTAATACAGTTGTGTTTTATTTCATATTTTATACATTATTCAACTATACCTTGTTCAATTAAAACTTGTTCAATAAAATTACTTTAACGGGCTATTTTTACGTTTAGCTTAGCACTTTTAGCGTTTTATTTAGGGATGTAGCTAACACTATGGAGCTATTGTCCAAGTTTTTCTGCTGCCACTGAAATATTAAGGAATATTTTTTTAATTAAAATAACATATTTTTGCCCGTATGCAGTGTCCGGCGCATCCCTTGACACAGACTTCTTCCAACTCCTATCGTTACCTTCCTTTTTTCCTATCTACTTCCAGATTACAACTACCACTTTAGTTATAAGTATTATAATCTCATCTCGTGACTCGTCAATCTCTAAATACCATTTCGTGCCACTACTCTGTTAAAATTTTTGTCGAACGTCAATTGCTTATCTGGTCGAATGACCTACTCGTCGCTATTTCAATTGTTTTATTTTTATTAGAATCTCTTCAACGTGTGGTGTAACTTTTGCTTCCTCGGCTCTTTTTTGATATTTCAATGAGAAATCCATCAACTCTGAATTTCAGTGATTATCTTTGTGGCAATGTCTAAGTTTGATTTCATAGATATTAGATACGTGAGACCATGACAAAATGTATTTTTTTTAAAAAACTTTGTAAAAAGGCAAAGGGAAGCTTACTTTTGATTTTTTTTTACCTTGAAAGTAAAATACATATGTATAAGGAATGCCTACACCCCGAAAACAAACAAGATTAGACTCTCAAACAAAAGTAGAGTAGAGTTAGTTCCCTTTATTGTACATGAAATATTATTGTAGATAACTATATCCCTAAAAATGAACTAGACAAACGTTAGATGTAATAAAAGGATGGAGGTAGATTACGATGTTTACTATATACCTACTCGTATGTATATTCCCAATATTTGTAGATGACACGCATGCGTTCTAGTCTAGGCAACCGCGCAGGCGTAATGTCTTCGTATCGTTACCAGTGACTTTTTACGATCAATACTTGTTGTAAGATTCACCGGAATATAATATGTAAGCATCTATCTATACATAAAGCGTTATTTGTCATGATAGACATGAAAGACAAGACTGATTCATCAATTCAGGGCCTTACAAACATAAATTTTGTACCCTGAAACATTTTATGCTGTAGGCAGCCATTAAAGTAGGATTTTTGGGAATTTCCCTATTAAGTGGGTAAAATAGAGGATAAACGGTTCTATGGAAGTCCATCATTTTCAAAGTCGAGCATCGACTTTATTAATACAAATAAGTATTTTGACAGTCAGTAGTTTTTTTCGAGTCACTTACGAATTTACGAGTTTGCGTAATTACTGGTGGTAGGACCTCTTGTGAGTCCGCGCGTGTAGGTACATACTACCGCCCTGCCTATTTCTGCCGTGAAGCAGTAATGCGTTTTGGTTTGAAGGGTTGGGCAGCCGTTGTAACTATACTGAGACCTTAGAACTTTTATCTCAAGGTGGGTGACGCATTTACGTTGTAGATGTCTATGGGCTCCAGTAACCACTTAACACCAGGTGGGCTGTGTGCTCGTTCACCCATCTAAGCAATAAAAAAAAATCAATAACAGAAGAGAAAATGTGCTATCGCACTGTAAATTATTTATACATACAAACTTTATTTTTAATATTTAAAACATATGTACATACTACCTTTTTATATTTATCTTAGGTAACTAAAATGTGTATGATATTTCTTTTGGAACCCCTGGTCTATGGTGGTACTTCGGATCTCATTGTTTCTTGTATCGTATGTTCCAAAGGATTGTTTGCTATAAATTAATAGTCTATCCATTCCTTAAGGAAACATTAAGATACACAGTGTCTCTAGAATAAATATTGGCCATGTACCATACGGATCTGAAATGAACTGCTCTCCATTGTGTCTCTGGGGTCTGGGAACCACCAGTACTAGGTAAGTCATGAATTCGTTCCTTTCCGAATGTTATTTACTTTCATTCAAAAATATGTAAAAAATTGTAGTTTTAATTAAGAGAAAACGTCAAATATGAATTATGTATATATCTGCCTTCGTATGTTTTATTTATGATTGAAAGTTTACTGGTGGTCCTGAGGCCTTTCCAGTTTCCCCAGGACTGGTGCGCGAGCACAGGCTCAGCTAGAAGGGATGGGATTTGCTAACAGTTGCCCGAGCGCCTCCGAAGGCCTAACATTAGGCCTAACAACTCAACAGCAGCTGCATCGCGAATGAATCTACTACCGAATCGGAATCGCGACCCGCTGAGAAGATCCGGCGAGAAACTCAGCGAGCTGATTCATGGGTAAGGGAATGGGTTGTCTAAAGAGAGTAATCGGGAGTGTGAGATTCCTCCTCCTAATCCGGGAGGAAATCCGTGTGGATCGCCTTCGTATGTATGTACCTACTTTTTAAATTGACAAAAATCAAAGAATTTTGGTTATGAGCATCCTGTTCTGTTGTATTGTTTTCACAATCCAATGACACGTGTCAGCTCTTCGTTTACGACCCCAGTTAAATGATAACATCTTAAATATTCATTATATTTTCAATTAATAGCCCTTTAATATGCGTTAATACAAAATGCATGCCTATTAAGATTAATGACTGTGAGTAATAATTGTGTAATAAAAACGTAAAAACAACTAGTGAAACTTGGACATATTTCATTGTGATTATCGAGAAATATAGGTACAGATATTTGATAGTTTCGGTGGATTTCTATACCTTCAAAAACCTTATCTTATGATGTATTGTTGATGTATTATAATTGAATTTAATTGTATAAACGAAGGACTGAAGTATAGGTTTTATTGCCGTGATCATCCAATTTGAAACTCATCAAGCTTAAAGCTTTTGTTTTTTTAGTATATTTGCAAGATTTGCTTTGTGTAAAATAACTAGTCTGGCCATAAATATGTACTCTTACATAAAAACATTTCTTTTTTTCACCTTTTTCATTGTTTTGAATTTGGAACACTCGGTGCTTATCTTCAATATACAGGACATGCCTTAAATCAATCTTTATAAATAAAGAGATTGGATCGATCAAAACGCCTTCTGTCGCGATACGCAAGTGAAAGGCACAGAAATATCCTCTACCGATAAAACATTTTCACGATTGAAGAGCACTACAATAAGCAAAATGATAAAGTGTACGCTCAAAGTTCCAAAGAAGCTGTTCAAGTGGTCGGAAAGGTACAGCGTGGTCATCATCCTGCTTCAGTAATGGTTTGATGGGGCGTATCTTATCAAGGAGTCACAAAACTACATTTTTGTGAAAAAGGAGTTCACCAAAGTGTATCAAGATACAGTCTTGGATCATGTTGTGAAACCTCTCAGCAATACAGTTTTTAAAAATATAACATGGACTTTTTAGCAGGAATCTGCACCTGGTCACAAGGCACGAACTACCCAAGCTTGGCTTGGAACTAACGTTCCGGACTTTATAAGAGCTGAAGACTGGCCCTCATCTAGCCCAGACCTCAACCCTTTAGCTTCAAATTATGATCAGTTTTAGAGGACATGGCCTGCTTTAAAAGACACGGCGATATTGAGTCTCTTAAAAAATCTTTGGAGCAAACAGTGGCGAAATTATGGCTGGACTAGGTACATGTAACTTGTTCTATGTTGTGTTCACACGTCATAAAAGAGCTCATTGAATGGGATATTGGACTAAATCGGTGAAATATGGAGCGATAAGGCATTGGTATTAAATCATCGGACACGCGTGAAATTAAATTATCCTCTACCAGTCGACGGTTAAATGAAAGGGTTGACTCTACTTTAGCGGGTCGTGTACAACCCCATCTGCAGTTTTCTATTATCTCTTTTACTCAACCGTCGTTTCATTGGTGCGAGAAAGAAACAAAATCTACGATCAAACTTGGATGTATACTACGAATCAAGAATTGCGCAAATCTAAAATGCAAACAACTTTGGACATGAAATTGGTTTTGTGTAGGCGATAAAATAAGTTAGGTATTGTTTGGAATGTGAATGTTACGCTTTTCACAGGCCCCTGTTCCCACTGATATTTGGAAAGCAATAAACTTATACGAAACAACGAAATAGTACATAAAAGATACTCAAAATGTTATATGTAAGGAAGAAGAAGATAAATCTTAATCCATTTACTGAATGAAATCTAGATGTACTAGAAATTACGGAGGACATGTGAATGGTGCGATATAGCGTTGGGTGATTGCACAGGATTGGCTGTGATGTTTCTAATCGGCTATGATTAAAACGAATTGCTCTCTGCTCTGGTGTTAGTTTAACTTATCCGGAGACATCTGATCCAGAGCATCAAGCATCAAGGAATACAGTTAATAAATCTGAAAATCTGCTATTTCGTAGGCCTTCAGAAGGGGCCCTACTATCGTGGCAAGCATCCGCATTGAGAACGGAGTCATGATATATTACCTCAGCCTTGCCTTCGTAAACATTGGGGGTAGTGCAAGAAATGGTTGTTGATGCAACGCCATTAGCTCGGTGACGCTGATATGGTCTCTCTAGACAATCAGCTTAGGTAGGAAAAAAGAAAAAAAAACATGCAATGCTGTGCCGCTGCGATTAAAATAGTAATATTACACATGAGGCGGCCTGCCTTCTGACATTATTGTACATTTGCGACTTTTTTACTTAAACGTAAACCGACATGCTGCTCACAGGACAAGGAATGGACGGGGTCGCTCACGAGTATCTGCAATGCCAGGATCACAGTTAAATCGATGTTTGATTCAACGAATTTATCTCTCGCCTATTCTAATTGCCACAAATGCAATATTTTGATTTCTTTAGAAATTAATTAGGTATTCTATTCGCTATTCTAATCGCCACAAATGCAATATTTTGATTTCTTTAGAAATTAATTAGGTATATAATGAAATGTGTTTTTTTTTTCGAAATGTAGTACTAACCAAGAATTAAGAAGACCAGATCAACTCGTTTAAAAGTCATAGAAAAAACACAAAGCAGATAAAAAAATTACTATTTCGGACAAACATATAAAACAACATTACTTGTAACAAAATTCTTTGGAAAACAGCTGAAGCCTACAAAACTAATCTCCCAACAGATGACAGTTCAATAACGATTGGTAAACTGCAAATAGCACAAAAGTACATTTCAAAAATTTGCTCCATTCAAACATTAATCGCGATTGACTTTTGTTAATGGGGTTCGGTTTTTAATTACAGCGAATGAATTCGGACGAAGTGGAGGCGGACGTGGACATTACAATACCGGTGTGATTGACACAAATTACCTCTAATTGAGAGCTCCCTTCAAACCGTTCCAAATCTATTTCGCCTATTGTGATTTTTCGAGCGCAATTTCAATTTTTTTTTCTGCATAAGCACCACCATATTTTATCATTTTATTGGTCTGATGTCCTGCTTGAAGATCAAATATTTGCAATTTTATTTACTAGAGAAAACACTGACAAACAAAAATAATAAAACACAGCGAGTTATTAATTCTGTAAAGTCTATCGACTAAACAAAATAAAAAGCAAGAAAATTTAATTCAATGTAATAGATCCGTTGCATAACTTTTTATTTTCTATAATTGATTATATGATTATTATTGAACAGATATTACGTGATTTAATTCATTTAGTACTATTTTATGGGCCATTTACTTAGTCTGCTCAGACCGGTAAAAACGTTGCACTCCGAATTTTATACGCGATTTAAAATTTAATTTAATTGTGTTTTAATCCGAGCGATAAACGTCAATCAAGTCTCTCTTGCGAGTGTGATACATGTATCAAGAGAGCTGAAAGGCACGTCGCGCCCCCATCGCCATTCAAAACGGATTTCGAGCTGGGGTGAAATTAAAATGTCAAAATAGTAGCAACGCACTACGTTGTATTTGTCTCCGGTTTTATCAGATGCTATTGTGTATTTTCTATTCTCTAAAGCTTGCATGAAAAACGATACCGTTTAAACCCTTTTATTCAATTTTCAAATATAAACTGTCAAAGAATTGTCCCACCTGTGAAGTTAAAAATCAGTAGAAATAGGTTTATTTAAAAAAAAAAAGTGTTGCTATTTTGATTTTTTGTGTTTAGTTATTTTGTTTTCAGAGTTCCGATTATACCTACTACACTTAGCGACATTAATACCGATAAATAAAATGAATAGTTTATGTTAATCATAAATGAAAGTGAAAGTCATAATCAACTAGAAATTACACTCGCGCATATGAGGCGCGTTTTACATTTCTTGAATTTCGTAATCCCATTGTGCTCTTTTCATTTATTTGTTTGGCTATTGAATCGCTGGAGTGGGCGCAACGAGAGCTCAGAGGGCAAATAAATAATTACACGCATTCTGTAGATATTTGCCTCGGGCATCTGGAGGGTGATAGAAAGACTGCACATTCATTTTATTTTTCATTGCACTTGATTGGTAAAAGTACATTATTATTCCTTTCTACTACTGATCTATGTACGTCAAATTATACATATATTACTCTAACTGACGGTATGGTAAGTTTTCAGTATTACGTCTCCTATTTTAGCTTTTTCGTTTATGTATTAATCTTAAATTACTAACATGAAGCTAATCAACACTTTAAAATACAGCCAGTGCGAGTACAAAAATACTAAAATAAAGGTAACCAAACATGGCTAATTTATAAAATAAATTTTATGCACTTTTTAGAGTAAAATCTCATAATTCACATCGTATTCAACTAAATCTAGTTTTAAAAGTTTTTAAAAATAATATACCTACCTTTAGGTTTGCTTGATCATGAAATAGCGACCTGGTAGTCAGTTATAAAACGGCGGAAACTACAAAGTAGGTAATATAAACTAGCGATTTTTTTTTTCGAATTTTTACTTCATCTATTCGCTGATAGCCTAAGGGGCTATTCCAGCTAAACTTGTTTAAAATGAAACACTGCAACGTGACTTCCGCCATTTAGGGACATTAGAGGAAATTTCATTAGCATCAAATAGGAACCGAGTCTAGTTTTACACAGCAGGACGAAAACGAATATATAGGTAAGACATTCTTGAAATAATGGTAATCGTATTCGATGTATTTTTTGTATGAAAATGTTTGTCGTAAAAATCGTTTGCATTTTCAAGAATAACTAATTTACTACACTTCACTATGTCGTTACGTATGTTTACATTTTAGTCGTGCTCACTGGTTTTTTGTCCCCATACTTTCAAGGGAGTCCTGTTGTTCCATTATAGCACCTTTTATAATGGAGAAGTATTAGGTACAGTAGTGCGTAATGACACACACACATCTATATCTCCTGACTATTAGCCGGACTGACCTAACCTTGATCTCTTATATAAAAAGTTCTTGACTAACCGAGTGATGTGATCTAAGCCATTTAAATTTCAATATTATAGAACACAAAACTAGAAAGCATACGGACTACTACTAACAAAGGTTGAACAGTTTGCAAATAGATGAGAGTTAAGCTGAAGCACGCTTGAAGGGGAAAAGGCGGAGGAGGACACTAGTGCGTCTTGCAGCTTTACCGACTCGTCTGAGCTAGAATTATATATTTATTAATAATTATGAAATTCGTTACATTCAGCCGACTGTGTTCGTAACGAATAAAAATTAAAGATGGAACGCCTTTGTGCTCGTGACGTATTTTAGTGTGTCAATTAGAGTTCTGTATGCCGACGGCCCAGCATGAGGCGACGCGGCGCGCCGGGACGCACAGTCGGAGCCCAACATCCCTCTTTATTAAATATTCTGACAAATTGATCGTGTTGTTTTCGCAAAAAAAAAAAAAACATTTTGCAGATGTTAGACGACTATTGTTCTTATGGGTTTATTCAACGTTTATTTGTTACTTTTACATGAATATTTTGATTTAGCTATTTCAAAAAATAATACTCAAATTTACAAAAGATTATGTTTACTGTGCCTACATACAAACAAAATACCATAAACTAGAAAGTGTAACATTTGTTTCCATTCTCTTAAACTGTTTGTTAAAAACTATAGGTACCCACGTCAATATTCTTATTACAATGAACAAATTATTTGCCATTTCAGGTTTATTAGTTTGGAACAAAAGTTGAACACAAAGAAGATTTTTTACTACACACGTCCTAAAGACGAAAAAGCAATTATATTAGTTCGACGTTGCTGCTATTAGCGCTGGAGCTACCTGCGGCGCTGCTCTATAATTACGCCCTGAGTGACATTTTCGAAGCTTTTGTAAGCGATAACACGGAAGCTGCGTCAGAAACTTAAAAAAGCAAGTTAGTATTGTTACAGTAATGCATTTGGGAGTAAATATTGAGAAGGCACAATGCGGGACCCGACAACCCTTAAATATAGTCCGCGGGGTGCCATTAGAGCAGTTGAAAGAGTTGGGTGTTCCCGGCCCTACTACGAGAAACGACTTTGTAAATCTAATTAAAATATCAATATGTTCACTGGACTCCGCGTTGACAATTCGATTTCACGCCTCGCGCCCTCCTAGCTGTAGTAATACAAAGATATTATATGGTAATGAAATATTGCATGTTTTATTGATAAATTAAAACTTTATAATGCAAGTCGTCGTGGCGTAAGGGATAAGACGTCCGGCGCATTCGTGTTGAGCGATGCACCGATGTTCGAATCCCAGGCGGGTACCAATATTTCTAATGAAATACGTACTCTACAAATGCTCACGATTGACTTCCACCACGGTGAAGGAACTAAGCATCGTGTAATAAAAATCAAACGCGTTAAATTATAATTTGTGTAATTACTGGTTGTGGACCTGTTGTGAGTCCGCACAGGTCGGCACCACCGCCTTGCCTATTTCTGCCGGGAAGCAGTAATGCGTTTCGGCTTGAAGGATGGGGCTGCCGTTGTAACTATACTTGAGACTTTAGAACTTATATCTCAAGGTGGGCGGCGCATTTATGTCGTAGATGTCTATGGGCTTCAGTAACCACTTAACACCAGGTGGGCTGTGAGCTCGTCCACCTAGCTAAGCAATACAAAAAAAAACCACACTAGATTAAAACAATATTAGACTTTAAATAGCAACTAGAATACTGTGTATTAATGTTAGGCTTTAATCATTATATATCAGTTCGGTTTCTAGAACCAATCGACACTAGCGTTCAAGGAGTCAATATAGGTATGTATAAGAGGAACGATCGCCAACAATTCTTTACAATATTCAGCCAGCTTCGTAAGGTATACCCAGACCTTTTTTTTCTAAACATGTCTTAAGGCTCAGGTAGCAAATACAAACAACAATAAAAACGTGACTGGTGACATATCAATCGATTTTTGTCAATGTTCCAGATTCGCACAAATCAAACATTGAAGTGTTAAATTTTTCTTTACAAAGGGCTTTAGAAGTCGCACGACGGGGATCTCGCAGGAGAAGCATTATGATACGGGATCATTAGTTAGCAAATGTCAAACTCAATTGAAATCGTTTCTTATTGACAGCATTTTTGCCCTGATCGTACAACAAGAAGACAACTTAAGCAAATAAAGATCTTGAGTAATGATTAATGATTTTTACACTATGAAATAAATTCAAGATCACAGATTCTAATTTGGAATAATAAATCTAAAACATTACATATTCGCATCATTTACCCTAAAATATTGTATTTAATTTTGTTCAACAACGTTCTATTAATTATTTTATTACAGCGCAAATGTTACGAAGCACGGCTGGCGCAATATTTCATCGCTACTATTCTCGAAAAAAGCAACCCTTTCCGTTTTTTTTTGTTTTGTATTGCCATTGTCACCCTTTTACTTCCATTTCAATTAAATAATGTCTGGTCATTTGGGACAGGCAGGCTAGAGCGCGGAACTTGCGCATTCGTAATGTTGCGCGGCACGGTGTGTCGAGTTCGCGCCTCCATCGGCCCCTGGCGCGATGTGCGCGTCATCCTGTGCGCACATTAATCACTTCCATTATTAAACTTGTTATTGTGTTCATTTGGAGATAACATTTTATAAACGGTGCCGTCCGCTTCTAACAAAATAAGCTTCCTATAATATCGTCTAACCCTCTTGGAGAGCGCTACCGTAAAAAGAGTTGATTAATGATATTATGTTGCCGATAACAACAAATCCGCTTAAACTTGCTAAATTTTTATTTGATTTATGACTAATGAAAAATAGTTCGAAGTCCGAGAAACTCTGTATGTATTATACAATTAAATGGTCTTGTTAAATAAGCAGAAAATTTACTTTCTGCTATTGTTTTAGTATGATTTCTTGTAGATATTTCTTTTTGACTCTACCGAAAAGTCTCTATAGTCAAGTTTTAAGATTTTCCGGCCATCTCGTCGAACCCGTCGCTTGCGACGAAGGGCTCGACGAGTAAATTAACCCTCAGACACAGACCACTGAGTTTCTCGCCGGATTTTCTCAGTGGGTCGCATTTCCGATCCGGCGGTAGATTCTGCGAAGCACGGCTCTTGCTAGGGTTCGTGTTAGCAACATCATCAGGTTTGAGCCCCGTGAGCTCACCTACTAGTTAAGGCGACGCTGATATAGCCTCTCAAGGCTATAAGCGTAGGGAGGAAAAAAAAAAGATGGAGGCTGTAATCTTTAAATGAGAATACATAACTTACTAATGAATCGTAGATGATATTAATAGTATGTCTAGATAATAATTAACATGCATACATTCTAATTAATATGCAACAGTTACTGCATATTCACCCTTCCTACTTGTCCTCAATTTATTGTCCTATCAAGAAATACTAATACTAAATTTCTGGAAACGGTAATTATTAATACCAACCGTTATCACTGAGACTCTACATCGAATTTTCATGATAGCTTCATTAAACAGCAAAACAATATTTTTGTTTCGCTGTCCCCAAAGACCAGTGACCACAACGGCTGAACCAGTTTAGGTCTCATTCTCTAGTATGTACATACTTATTTGGTCTCCATTAGAATTACTGTTTGTTATCGTGTTTGATGAGCTCGCGTTTTGAATGCCCTATTATTTATTTATTACATTTGATGAACGAGTTGACGGGCCGCTTGGATTTAGTTGTTGAAGCCCATAGATATCACAGTGTCGATTTTGCCTTTTGACCTATAAGGCCGTAGTCATATAGCTCTTTACTACTAATTCTTAAAACGAGACTAGAAACGTAAGTTCGAGTCACAAAATAACGAACCTCGAGTGAAATAGCTTTGCGGATATATATTTTTTTTAATTGATTTCTATGACTATTTCTAACCAGAAGCAGCCATGCGTTCCAGTTTCATGGATGAGACAACCGGATATATAAAACAATTGGGACTTCGACCACTTTTCTTCTATGTTGAGGTTACTAGTCAATTCCTTGATATCCTTTGATGTTATATAAGTTTTTTTTCAACCGTCAAGGCGTAGCTGCATCTTAGGCTACCAGCGAATAGGTAGGGATTTTTTTTTATAAGTTGTTATACTTTAATATTAACAAGCACAACAGATTACGAAAATAATTCGTTAACAATAAATTTGCATATTCTACAAATTCTTAATCCGATTTATCCGACTCGGATGGGAGTAGTCACGATCGGGTATTTCCGATCTTGTTTTGACGTAAACCAGCTAGTTTTCTATTCTGAGGCGGCCCACCAAGTCGGAGGTCGACGCGTTACCTTCTCGTGACATTTTGCTTGCTTCTTAGAAGTGCGCGCGTTTTTCCTTATTTTGCGTCATCAAAAGATGCCATTTAATATTTAGTATGTTACCTCACTCTTCGTTATGCATGACTATAGTGATGTATATTTCAATAAAATATGTTGTCGTTCTTTTAGCGACAACATATTTAATATATATATTTTTTTATTATTGCTTTGATGGGTGGACGAGCTCACAGCCCACCTGGTGTTAAGTGGTTACTGGAGCCCATAGACATCTACAACGTAAATGCGCCACCCACCTTGAGATATAAGTTCTAAGGGTTTCAGTATAGTTACAACGGCTGCCCCACCCTTCAAACCGAAACGCATTACTGCTTCACGGCAGAAATAGGCAGGGTGGTTGGTACCTACCCGCGCGGACTCACAAGAGGTCCTACCACCAGTAAACCGCAACAGTAGCGTGAATTTGCTGTTATTATAAATTACAAGTAGATGACTAGATTTGGGGACACAAGTGTTGAAGAATCAGTAAGAACAGTGTTGATAATACTGTTAGTTCCTTCTCTATACAAAGGAAGAGTTTAAAACTCATTAATAATCTTCATAAATTATTAACACAATAATTGATTCTTTATCAATAGAAAACCTTTAACTAAGTAATTAAGTCTACATATTTGATTCATGAATTATACCTATATGTCTATATGAAAATGTGTCAAGTACTCGAAATTAAAATACTTGAATTTAAAGACACAAATTAAATATATAAAGCGTTTTTAATCATGACTGTCATGATCACGTTCTAACTTCCTTTTTATCCTCAGGAGTATAGTTCACTGGTGGTTTGGTGTGCTGCATCGATTTCGCACCAATAGTTTCTTCAATCAACATTATAGCATATTTTGGTCGGACAGTTAACGCTTAAGAATAGAATAGTTAACGCTTTAAAGGGACTAGCAGTGTTTATACCTATACAAACTATAACTATCATGTCTCAATATCGGCAGCGAAATATAAGTTGTAGTGTACATGGGCTACATTGATTACTTGACACCAAATAGGTATATATTACCACCGAACATATTATTATGTATTAAAACCCCTATTATACGTTTTTTTTTTGGTGATGCTTTTTCATTTCATCAATTTTCAAATTACAACCAAAAGAAGTTTCCCTTCTCTCTTCAAAAAGTAGAGGAATCATTCCAGATGATTCCATTCCAGATTCCAGATCCACCTATCTATTGAAGTATAAAAGCGGAAATATGAAGAAATGTTATGTCGACTTAGGTTACGTATTCATTCAATAGTATCGTAAATTGGAAAGTGTGTTTCCAGGTCATTCTTGACTTGACCTTCATTTATGCAATGAAATAACGAATGGACAGGATTCTCAAAAATTTACATATAGATGAAGGGTCTATTTTCTTTATTTCTATCTTTATCTCTTTATCGAGACAAATTTTCTACTAGAAAATCTGTACTAATCCTCGTTACTCTTCTTTTTATTTTGACTTTTTTTTGCGTAGAAGGATGGACGAGCTCATGGCCCACCTGGTATTAAGTGGTTACCGGAGCCCATAGACATCTACAACGTAAATGCCTTCAACCCGAAACGCATTACTGCTTCACGGCAAAAATAGGCAGGGTGGTGGTACCTACCCGTGCGGACTCACAAGAGGTCCTACCTTGTACCAGTAAACCTTGTATTAAATAACCCTATCAACCAGTATTTCTATAGACAATAATTGATATTTTACCAAAACAGACTGTATAAAATATACTGTTTAACCACAGTGTATAATAATAGTTCGAGGTATTATTGTTGATAATTATTGAACACAAAAAACCACATAGCAACCAGTGAGATATGACACAAAAAACCAATCGAGTACAAGAAAAACATATATGAAAAACACGTTATTTTTTTCATCGATAGACAATAATATCGTATTTACTATTCGTCATAGCCGAGGCGAGGGAAGTCCCGACGCTCGCAAAAAACAACACTCATAGTATAATACCGTCTCTCAGATCCGTAAGAATAATTTGTTTATAGAGATGTAGTTAGTTACTTTCAAATTTAGCGTTCAGATTTAATATTTCAATGAAGTTATCATACTGTAGATTTCTTACTAAATCTATTTTGATAGTTTTGATTTTTTTCATTTTTTGTATAGACTGGTGGATAAGCTCACAGCTCATCTGGGTATCTAAGATCTAATACGTAGTTGTGTATCGGCAGTCGCACCCATCAAACCAGAACGCATGGTTTTTTGGTAGTAATTAACTCATGTCTCAAGATGGACGGCGGCATTGACATTGTCTGTGGGTCACACAACCCTAGTTCCGTGAGTCTATTTATAGTCTATGCAATAGAATATAATGTGTAATTGATTAAGTATTTTATAATGTACAAGGATTTTTACTATATTTTTTATATCGCAGGAAAATTGGCATGGGACCGAACTGATGGTCAGTAGTTATTGTCGTTCGGGGACATTAGTGATGCCAACTGGTCACCGTAGTCGTCGAACCCGTCGCTTGCGACGAAGGGCTCGACGAGTGAATTAATTCATAGACAAAGCCCACTGAGTTTCTCGCCGGATCTTCTCAGTGGGTCGCGTTTCTGGGAAGCACTGCTCTTGCTAGGGCCAGTGTTAGCAACACTCCCGGTTGAGCCCTGTGAGCTCACCTACACGTCAAGGAGAAACTGAAATAGCCTCTCAAGGCTATCAGGATAGGTAGCAAAATAAAAAGTGATGCCAGAGACATAGCTAAGCCGCAGCCTACTGCTGAGTACTTTCCGCGATCCGCCTACCGGTCCGCGCTTACTTAGAATAGCCTTATTACCAACTATTAAGAAATAAAAAAATGCGCAAGCCTCGCTTGAAGAAGAATCGCTGTTCCATTGTATTTAGAGTGTATCGCACATACGGTGCTATAAAGTCACTTAAGCAATATTTGTTAACATTGAACTGAGTA